TACCAACTCTTGGGGAAGGGTCTAGAGGGTGTCCTATGTGAGGAATATCTTTAGCATAGGGGTCTAGGCATTCACTAAAGCAGGAAGTCGGTTTTTCTTCTGAAAGTTGTTTTTCATTTACAGAGAGATAATCACAAGAAATCGCAGGTTTTGGTTTCTTTCTCTTTTCTTCTTCTGCTTCAGCATAATCTTCATCACTTCGAAAATACATTTTCTCGCCAAACCCTAGTCCCATGTAATCTTTGTTATAGAATTGAAGGCAATTAACTTTCTTAAGATTACGTGGGTTGGTTATGCCCAGACCTGTTTTAGCATTGTAGAATCGGTCATTCTTTTGTTTGTTGTTAAGCAGAAAAACAGTTTGTTCAGATTGACCTCTTCTAGCAGCTAGATCTTCTAGTTCTTTTACTTTATTTAAAAGCGTTCTTCTTTTGTTATGCAAAAAATCGCATTCAGCCTTTGCTGTGCTTTTTTCCCGTTCACTATCCTCAAATTTCTTAGTTAATTCAGCTATCTTAAGTTCAAAGCTTTCAAAATCTGAAGACACCTTTTTGACTTGATCTTTTTGCGATTTCAAGTTGAATACTTAAGGAAGACTTTTGGTCTAGATTCTGTTTCAGAACTCTATGATTATTGTCTAGTCTCTCCTTTAGTTCTTTGATTAGATTGTCCTTTTCAAGTAAGGACTGCATTTGATTATTTAAAGAAGTATGGGAGGTACTTACAGAGCTTGTTGAGCACTTGCTTTTGGGGATCGCAGCATCACCCTTTATTTCATCTCCCTCCACACTTGCCATAAGAGCATAGTTGTCTTCCTCTTCCTCCTCCTCAGAAGAATCTTCTGCCCAGTTCTCATTTTCAGCAATCATGGCAGAGGTTTCTTCTTCTTTCTGCACCATTAGCATTTTCTGCTTATTCCACAGCATCTTCTGCTTGTAGAAGTTAGCATCTTTCTTCTTTGGGAGGCGGCAGTCTTTGATCACATGTCCAGGCTTGCCGCAATTATAGCATTTAGGAGCTTCTTCTGCTGATGATGCCTTCCTAGAAGATCCTTGATCATGGTTCTTCTGCTTGTAGTTTGAGGAGGAAGTTCTCAGCCTGTTGGAGGAGGTGTTCTTCTTAGCAAATCTTTTGGCCAGCAGTGCCATCTTCTTCTGTAAGTCTGCTAGCTCAGCCTCTAGATCAGATTTGTCATCATCACTTTCATCATCATCTGATTCAACCACCACCTTCTTCTTTTTCTTCTTTAGTGAAGTGGTTGTCCTTCTTGGCTGAGCATCCATTACAAGAGCTAAGGGGTTTGTGGTGTGATGATCCTCAGCGCAGGCAACCTCGTTGACGAATTGCTTCAGATGTTCATAGAGTGTGCAAAGGTCAATTTCGTCCAAATCTATCCGAGATCTGACATCCTTCACTGTCTTTTCCCATGCAGGATGTAGGCTAGATAAAAATCTAATATTCAGTTCCAGATTGGACCTGAATACTTTGATCTTTCTGAGCTCATTTACCAGTTGAACAAGTCTGTTGTAAGTCTCATTCAATGGTTCTCCTGGACCTGCTTTGAAGGAGTCATAAGCGATGAGAATCGTAGTCTTCTTTGTTTTGAGGCTGATGCTTGTGCCTTGTAGCAGCTTCTCAATTTCATCCCACATCTCCTTAGCTGTCTGCATGATATCTATGAGAACATAAACCTCGTTCGGTATTGCTTGAAGGAGGTACATTTTGGCCATAAGATCACCACGAAGTCTGAGCTTGTCGGCTTCTGTGTATTCAGATGGCACTTTTCTCCTTATTTCTGGAAAAATAGGAGGATTGTTCTCTGGATCTCCACCAACTGAAATCAAGAGTTCAGCTGGTCCTTCAAGCAAAGATTCGAGCATTGCAGAAGAGTTCTCTTTGTGCTCGAGGAAGTTTAGAAATCTGTTCCTCCACATTTGATATTCTCCCTTCCTGAGGCTAGGAGGGGTACTGCTGTTCCCTTGTGCATTGTATTCTGAACCCATTGCTGTACTAAACTGACCGTTCGAGAAAATTGATCAAAAGATTTTCAGAGGCAGAATCTCGAAAAATCAGATGTCGAGATCTGAATATCGAAATCTCAGATTTCGATAAAGGAGGCCCGGTATCGAGATTTGGGCTCGAGATTAAGGATCTCGAGATTTGGGATCTCGAGATTTCAAATTTCGAGATGCTGATCTCGAGATTTGAAATGTCGAGAAGTTAATCTCTCGAAATCTTAATCTGATGAGTCAAATGTCGAGACCAGATGTCGAAACCTTTTCTCGAAATCAAAATTTCGAAATCCTAGATGTCGAAATCCTCAATGTCGAAATCTTTCAACCTGTAAAAATCAGATAATCAAAATCTGAAGACAGTTTCCTGTAGAGTTGAATGTCGAGATCTTCTGGTAAAGTTTTCAGCTCGAAAAACGTAGCAGAACCTGTGAAAAAGTAGGATGTCGAGATGCCTAGCTCGAGATATCTCGAAATCAAAGATTGCGAAAAACACAAACTGAAGTATACCCTTTGATCGCTTTGAAGAGGCGATTCCAAAGGTGTAACTTTTACAACTTTTGAGCAAGAAACAAAATTACAGAGCAAAAAATCGACAGAATGAACTACGTTAACAAAAACAGAATATTCTGCAGGAGTTCTTCTGATCGTTCTCGATCGGCTCTGATACCAATTGTTAGTCCCTGTTTCTGTAACAGCAATGAATAATCGATCTAACAAGGAAGATTAAACGTTAAAGATGAACACAGAATGAATCACCGTAAAACCTTCTTTGATAAACCGTGGAACGTACAGCAGAATGATAAGCGTAAGGCTATGAAATAATAAGTACGACGTTCAACCTTTTCCTAAACCTCGGCTCCCTATTTATAGGCGAGGTTTAGGTTAGGCGTACCAGGCTTTTGGCCTGTTTAAATGGGCCTAACACTTGGCCTGATTTCTATCTAATTTATGCACTATTTAAATACAAGGATTAAATATAAAGCTAATCTATGACCAACTTGATTCACAATTAAATATCTCCAACATCCTCCGTCCCGAAATAATTGTCCTGCTTTCCTTTTCGATTTATCCTGAAATAAATGTCTTCTTTCCTTATTTGGTAAACAAATCTATACAAAACAGTGCCAAACAGCGCAAAACAGTGCCAAACAGTGTCGCTACAGTGCCAAATATTGTCGCTACTGTGCCAAACAGTGTCGCTACAATGTGAGGTCAACTTCACTTTCTTAATCTGTGTGAAGGTCAAATCAGGACGATTATTTCTGGACGGAGGTAGTAATAAATTACTAACCTCTTGGTATTCTTGTTTAGCGTCTATGAGTTTATCCTCGTACATAGGATGACTAAAAGTTTGAGTTGCATTATTAAAATATACCAAAACATTCACAATTTTTTGCATATTGTCAATGTCGGCCGGGTTTATAATATAGTTAGCATTTTCTTTTCAAAAAGCAGGAAAATGGTCTTTAAATCTAATAAGTACAACAATTAAGTTATAAGTATTATTCCAACGCATTGACAAATCTTTAGGAAAAACACAATATTTGACACGTCTTCGGTCTTTCCCTCAAATATTTACGCCATTGCTCCTTAAGTTGACCACTAGCCCAAATAAGTCTAACCCCCCCCCCCCCCCCCCTTCACTACCTCCATAGCGTCTCCCAACGCGGCTAGCCCGTCTTTTACACATAAATTTAGAATATAACATGGACAACGCTGATGAAAAAACCTACCCATCAAAGTAGAAAAACCACATGATTCACGCAATTTAGGTATATCAGCAATATTATTACTAGCATTATCAAAACCCATAGCAAACACCTTATCAATCAAATTATACTCAATTAAAATACGCTCAATGAGAATATAAATATTGTCAGCGGTGTGTCGATCATTAAATTCACAAAAAGCAAGAACGTGTTTATGCATTTTCCAATCATCATCAATATAATGTGCAGTCACACCCAAATAATATAAATGATGATGAGTATCCTCCCATATATCACTACAAATAGTAACACGTCCATCAAAGTTTGTGAAAAACATTTGTAATTTTTCCTTTTCCAAAACATATTGCCTTATAACTTCTTTTTAATCATTTTGCGACTATAGTTTCAAAATTGCGGATTTAAAGTACCTTGAGCATATTCTTTTAAAGCAAGACTTTCAGAAAAAATAAAAGACAAAATTTCTTCAACAATTAAGTGAGAAATATCAGTCAAATGTTTTTTATCATCATAAGAGAAATTACCAAAGGGTTGGCCACTTCCAAACCTCTATATTTGAGTTTGCTTCCCCTTGTCTTTGTCTATTTTCGCATACTCCACGGGGTGAGCGGACATAAGATGCCTTTTGCAACTGCCGTATCCTCCATAAATTCCCAATCAATGTGCGTACCATTTCTCGGTTTTTGAGTTCTTTGCAACACCGTCCCCAAGTATATTTATTTTTAGTAAATCATGTAATAAACCTTGAAGAACGATTTATGAATTTACGAGGTTGTATATTTTTATTAATTCTTTTGCGCGAATAGTAAATTGCACGTGGGGCCCACATCGGGAGCAGGGACCACCCGATAATTCTGGGACCACATATTATATTCATTTTGGTCTAGATAATATGTATATAGTGGTAGATATTTTAGTTGAGCCATAGAAAGGGCATAGGGTTGACCCGTCGGTCAAACGAGGCCCAATTACCGGTATTGGTAATTTATCAGATAACAGCCCGAAACGGATTTCGGAGACTTCTAAATTTAAGATGAGGAATATTTATTCATTCTAAAAGTCCGTAATGATGGGAAACACTTAATACATTTTACCCGATAAAATAAAATATAATTAAAACAGTCCGAAAAATACAACTTTCGGGGCCGATTGTACAAATCGGGACACAAAGGGATGACCTCCCACATGAGTGGGGCCACCCTACGTTTTTGTGTGCTCAATGAGACATAAAAGGGGCTGGAATGACAAAGGAAGGAGTGGAGGAGAGTCATTTGGCATCTAACGTACCAAAGAGGACCCCTCACCCTCATTCATTGGTCATTTGAGACAAAGGTACACATCCTCTCTCCCTCAATCATCTAGCTCGCCCAACCCTATCATTTTGAGAGGATAAACTCTCAAAATACTCATCCTCCATAGCTGAACTCGAGCTCAAGGAAGAAGGTCCAAAGAGGAGTGATTAAAAGAAGGAAAAAGTTAAGGAAAGTGTGAAGGATTAAGGTAATAACCTTATAAAAACTTTTCTCCTACTTTTTATCTATCATGTGACTTATATAGCATATGAGGAACCCCTAGGCTTGTTCTACATGTTTAGAAATGTAGAATGAGGGATTGGAAGGTAGTTCTAATTCCAAGAACGGACTTAGAAGTCAAAACGACCGGTTCACCGGAAAATAACCTTTTAGAGGTTATTTGTATTGATATGAGTTGTGTGATGATAAAACCATGTTAGGAGCATAACTAAAGTGTTTCTAGATTTCGTCGGAGTTTCGCCGGAGTTTTGCCGGAGTTTCACCGGAGTTCGCCGGAGTTCGCCGGAGTTTTACTGGAGTTTCGCCGGAGTTCAACCGAGGAGCGTAGAACACACTAAAAGGTGAGTGGACGGCTTAATATCTTATAACTTTTGGGTTAATTATGAGATTACCTAAATAAATGTTATATGTATTCATAATGATGTTTAAACGATATTTAAACATGTGATTAACCAAAATGATTACACATGTATGAAATGAAGTACATGAATATGCATGGAATATGATATGAGAATTTCTATGAAATTGCATACTATGTTTGAAAGGTAAAAGAAGTATAGAATGAATATTGTTAACTTAATATATATGATGATTAAGTTGATATGTATAAGGCTTGAGGTGACGGTTAACGAAAACGTTGACCGATTGATGATGGATTAATTAATACCGGTTGGTTTTAGTTAATTATAAATTGATATAAACGCATGACTTGCATGAATTGAAATACATAAGCTTTATGAAGTTATTTAGCTATGAATATGATATAGACTCTATCTAGGTTGATAGGAGGTTGAGCATAAAATATAAACTTGGTGGAGGACCCTGGGACTAAAAGTCCTTAACACTCAAATATAAACTTGGTCTGGGGCGTGACAACTAAGTGGTATCAGAGACATTTCAGTTCTAAACTATGTAATCAACCTCTCGCAAGAGATTTATCAAAAGAGTTTTACCGAAAACCATGAGCATTGTATTTTGACGTTTATAGGACTATTGTTACCTAGGTTGCAAGGTCTCTAGTTGTTAAGGTGATACCCTTAACAATTGGTATGGCAGTGACTTGGGCCAATATGTGTCTATAACGTTTTCCGTCAATTGACATTGATTGGAGTCTAACGACTCGTTCGAATTCCTTTATAGAAATGGAGGGTAAACGCATGGCAATGAGAAATGACCCTAGGGGTCAAGCGTCGGTAGCTTACCTAGAGGCTAGTCGGGCCGTGTCACGAGCCTCTAGGGGGAGAGGAATAGGTCATGGGGGGCGTGAGAGCCGCCAAGGCCAGGCGGCAAGTGATGGTCGTGTGGACTCGGTGTGTAACATGAACACTAGGAGGAAAGAACGTAGGCGTCAGACTAGGCACGATCGGGTCACCTACCAACGTGATATGACTGCCAGCCAAGCCCATCCTTGGGAAAATGAGCAAGGAGGAGAAAGCACTTTTACGGCACCGGCATCACCAGTGAAAAAGAAAAGGAACTCAAAGTGGCATGCATCCTTTCCTTACTCTTTCAGACCACACCGGGGAGCGGGGACCACCCGATAATTCTGGGACCACATATTATATTCATCTTGGTCTAGATAATATGTATATAGTGGTAGATATTTTAGTTGGGCCATATAAAGGGCATAGGGTTGACCCGTCGGTCAAACGAGGCCCAATTACAGGTATCGGTAATTTATCAGATAACAGCCCGAAACGGATTTCGGAGACTTCTAAATTTTGGACTTGCATGCCCATGGATATTTTTATTTATTTTAAACTACTTTTGGGTTTGCATGCCCATGTTGTTGGCCGAATGTGGCCTATGAATCACCGTTGAATATTTTCCGCTATTCAATGGTTTAATTGTGATGTCATTATGTATGTTTACTACTGAGTATGGATGGATTGTTTTCTCGAATGCCTTGTATGATTAAATGAGGTTGACCTGCGGGTGACGTCACTTGATTATACGGCGGTTGTACACGCGCTTAGATTGCGGTCTAGGGCGTGACATCCTTCGTCTTATCAAAGTTATTTTCCATAATTAAAGATTTAGTTTTAGATTTCTTACCGGGTTGGGATGAACCAGCCTCGTCATCGACCTCTTCCTCATCGTTCGGGGTGTCGTGCCCCTCGGCCTCCTCCTCCTCTGCATCCTCATCCTTGAGCTCTTCGTCAGTATCGGGGATATCATGTTGTTGGTAAAAGCTTGGATCTTGTTGTTCCAATAGTTGGGTTAGTTGATGGTCGGTCATCGCATCCACATCTCTCCATTGGTAATCCGTTTCAAAATCATCTCGGCTTTGAGAAGAAGACCTGACCTGTCCTTTACCTTTGTGTGAACTAAGATGATTCCTCGCAATCTCCTTCGTTTGGTTGCGGTTCAAGTTACCCATATCGTCAGAATGTCAGCCACGTTCCATCTTAAAAATGTTAGAAAAATAAAAATCCAACAAATATGTTAATATGAGTACAATAGTAATGCAACTAATAACAAATGTTATAAATTTTAGGAAAAATTGATTGTAACCAACCATTCCAGCTCACTGGGTGGAAGGTTACCGCGTCCTAGCGGAGGTCTCGGGTTCGAATCCCGCTAGGCACATTTAGGGGAGAGGAGGGAGGTCTTGCTCCCAATGATTCTTCCTACCTTCACGGAGTTGCTCAGCGGCTGAGAAGGGATATGATGGTAATGAAGGTAGCGGGTTCGTATGGTGGGAGGAGCAGCCTGAAAGGTGATGTAAGTCCTGCTGGATTCGTCCTTTGGAGCCAGTACTGTCGAGGTTGACTGTGATCAGATCCGGACTTAACTGTCTAGGGGCTTTGGAGGGTAGTTCATAGACTCCAGGATTATGGGAGCGTAAGCCCCAACACCTGGATTATAAAAAAAATAGGAAATTAAAATTGATTGTAATAATCCCAACTATTGGCGGTCCGCTCATAATAATCAATAGTTGGGATTATTGTTAGCGGACCGGCAATAGTTGGGATTATTGTTTTCAATATTTCCTAAATTTTATTGTTTATTTAACAAGTGTAGTTTACTGAAAATACTAACTATTTTTTTAATTCGAACTAGTTTTTCAATAACTAGTTTTTGTTAATGAAATGTTAATGAAACAAATCTAACTGTTTTAAATAAAATTCGAATTAATTGGAAGTAAAATTCGAACTATTTTTTAAATCTAACTACTTTAATGAAATAATTCGAACTATTATTTTAAATAAAATTGAACTAATTTTTTCTAAAATGAATAAATTCGAAGTAAAAAAATCTAACTAGTTAACTAATTGTTGTCTAACTAGAAATGTAACAACTTACAATTAATTACTTTTATACTTTAATGACAAATATAGCAATGAACTAATACGAAAATGATAAATGTAACAATTAACAACTTTTATACTTTAATGACAAATATACCAATGAACTAATATGAAAATGAGAAATGTACCAATTAACTAATTAACTAATATTAATAACAAATGTATGAATGTGTAAACTAAATTAATGGGAGTGTGAGTGAATAAGTAATAGGATGAATTTAATTACTATTAATTAAAGTGTAACTAATAAATAATATAATGTTTATAGTTTATAATATATAAGTATACTACTATAAGATGAGTAGTACACTTATATTTAATATTTTAATATATATACTTAATATATGTATTTATAAGTAGATAATAAGTATATAAGTAGATATAATAATTGTTTAACTAATATATATTATAATGTTTATAGTATATAATATATAAGTATATTACTATAAGATGAATAATACACTTATATTTAATACTTTAATATATATAAGTATATATTAAGTAGATGTAATATGTAAATGTAAGTAAATAACAATAATATAATAAGTAGATAATACGTAAATATGAAGTATATATTAAGTCGATAATAAGTATATATTAAGTACATAATGAATTTTAGTAATATAATATATGTATTTATAAATAGATAATTAATATATAAGTAGATATAATAAATCTATATATATATATGTAGAGAGAATTGAAGAAGATGAAGATGGAGATGATTAAGAATATTAGAGAATAGAGAGTTGGAAGAGTTGGAGAAGATGTGTAGAAAATTGTTTAGAAAATTGGAGTATTTATAGGTTTTTTTATACCCCACCCCCACCCCAAACCCCATGGACCCCCCTCCAAGCCCTCAAACGGCTATAGAGCCGTTTGGGAGTGTTCCCGACGGCTAGGAGGAGATGTTTTAGTTTTATTTTGGAATTTTATCAATCTGAGGCTTGAAAGATAGACGAACTATCAATCCGGGACCTGAAAAATGAAATGTATCAATATAGGACTCGAAAGATGAAAAACTATCAATCTAGGACCTAACATTTTATAGGTTTTTATTTTTTTATTTTTTTATTAATTTCATTGCTAATATTTGGTAAAATTTTCTTCACAAAACTTTATTAGTTTAATAAAACTAAATATTATTTAATTTTTTTAAAATAAAACCAATAATAAAATTTATGAATGCTTAGGTCCTAAATTGATAGTTTTTAATCATTCGGGTCCTAGATTGATAGTTTTCCATCATTCGGGTCCTATACCGATACATTTCATCTTTCAGGTCCCGAATTGATAGTTCATCTATCTTTCAGGTCCCGGATTGATAAAATTCCTTTTATTTTTTTTAAAAGTTGACCGTTGAGGCCCGGCCGGTCCGGTTCCTATTTTGGCTACGTGGAGCCCGCCCCGGAAATACCCGGCTCGGATATAATGCACCCGGCCCGGACCCGGGCTGACGGGTCGAGCATGTTCTGAATAGTGGCGGGCCGGGCCGGTTTACACTGCCCAAATCCATCCCTAACTTAGACGGTCCGGTTGCTACCTGGCCTGCTACTGTGCAGGACTTGGTGGGACCAGGACCGGGACCCGACTTAGATGAAGAAGCATGCAGGCATTGGGTTGTTATTTTAGTGAACCGGACGGGCTGGGCTTGGTTCGCTCCTAATGGTCATTAATTAAAAAAATGCGATGCAATTGATTGGGCTAGCTACTAGCTTAACCCGGCCCGACAGGGACTGAAGCCTGACAGGGCAGCCTGACCCGTCCCGGTACCATTACATACCCAGGGCCGGTACCAGAGCTAAAATTTTTAGACCCGTGGCCAGTCCAGAAGCTCAACCCTGACCTAGTCCACCCCTAGTTAGCGCCTCATTATGAATTACCTTTGTTTCAGAAAAGTGAAAGTTGTGTGGTTGATGTTTATGTAAGAACGAGAAAAATGAGCAAATGAATAGAATCACAAATTTGTTGCTATAATGGGAGAGTCATGAAATATTTGGAACAATATGTTTTTGGCTGAAGGGTCAAATAGATCCTTGTACCCTTTCGGATTGCTCAATTTGCCCCCTCAACCCAAAAAAGCTCCAATTGGCACCCTGAACTCAATAAAAATATTCAAATTTCACTTTTTGCAGGTTTCAATCCGGTCACCGCCATGTCACCCGGTAGGGTGCCAACTGTGCATGTGACGTGGCAACTTAGGGGGTCAAATAAGCCCCTGAACCCGATCAAATTGTTCAATTTACCCCCTCAACCCTAAAAAATGTCAAAAAATTTTTAAGGGTTGAGGGGGTAAATTGAACACTTCAGTCGGGTTCAGGGGCTTATTTGACCCCCTAAGTTGCCATGTCACATGCACAGTTGGCACCCCTACCGGGGTGATGTGGCGGTGACCGGCTTGTGACCTGCAAAAAGTAAAATTTGAATGTTTTTATGGAGTTCAGGGTGCCAATTGGAGCTTTTTTGAGTTCGGAGGGCAAATTGAACAATCCGGAAAGGTACAGGGGCCTATTTGATCCTTTAGCCTATTTTTTTTGTGTGGCTAAGTTCAATTTGATAAACAAATTTTTAAGGGGGCTAATATGTATCTCTTATGGAAGGAGCAATATTTTAATTTTGGTCTAATAGTTAAATTCAGTTTTTTTAAATACTATCGTATAAGTATTCTTAATTTTTTGATTCATAAATAAGGAGAATGTACAAATATATCCTTTAATTATATCTTGAAAATAAATATACCCTTGATTTTCATTTAGAACAATTCAACACAAAAATTCTATAGTTAGAAATGTGTTGTGATTAAGGTTTATTTGTTTTAAATTTTAAATTTGTCTTTAATGGGGTAGTTGGTCCAATATAGGATCGGCACAATACGCCATAAGGAAGAAGGGGTTGAGTACGGGCCTACGAATTGTGTCTGACGCTCGTCTTTGCATCGCGATGCTCGACCCCATTACCTTTGTCTAGTTAGGGGTGAACCGGGCTCGAGATTGGGCGGTATTGGGATTTCGGGTTGCAGGCCCGGTGCCGACCCGAGTTTTTACCGGGCCCGAGTCGGGCTGGGCAAATTTTTATTTTTTTAAAAAATGACTTTTCGAATTTATTCCCACCCCCACCCCCCAAACCACCCAGCCCCACCAGCCTATTAATTGCAAAAAATTAAAAAAAAGAAGGGGCCCGGACCGGCCGGGCCGGTCACCTATTTTCTAGAC